TTTAAATTTTTTAAAATTTCAACACACCTTTTATGTTTTAGCGTATACGTTTGCCAATAAAGCCACACTTCAAATATACTATTTTGTCCAGGTCCGGTTGAAATCTTGCAAACAAGGACTTTATGCTAGTGGTTTCATCAAAGTTTCAGGAGGACAACTGGTATGAACAACAGCTTATAGGACTGAGMCAGTAATGCCTGAAAAGCAGAGGAAGCTGCACACTTAAATTTTAAATCTATCTCATTTGTATTTGACTGCATTTATTTTTTATAGCTGTTTCATACCATTAAATCCTGAATTAGATCCTTAGTGTGATCAGTTTGTTTGAAGAGAAATGAGCTGTCACTGTGGTAAGAGATTTTTGGGTTTTATTTGAAAGATGGGCTTCATCAAAATCCCCATCCATGGGGTCCATCCAAACCCAAGCCTGTTTGGAGCAGGAGCCCTGCACCATCTCTTACAGTGAAGTAAAGAAAAATAATCTTACCTATACTGATCTCTTTTAATCATTAAAATCTATTTTAAGATACTCTCCAAATGCAAATGTGTAGGGTCAAATCTTGAAGAATTCAGCTCATATTTAGCAACAAGAACAACAAAGAACCAGAGATGTCTAGGAGCAGGAGATAATATTAAAAACAATTAACTGATCTGAGAAATAGAAATCAATGCAACATTTATCAGCCGAAAATTCATTTTAACTAGTAAAGGAAAAAAGAATAAGATGTACAACACTGAATATTGTAACAGCTGCTCCCTCATTAAATTACCCATTTAATTCCAAATCCTCTTCACATGCAGTATTTCATTTGCTAACCACAGAACTGGGGAAAATTCAAATGATTTTCAGCCAGTTCAAGAAGCTATCCCTCTGATGCAGGGATTCTAAATTGCTATCCATAAAAAAGCAAGCTCYGCTTACTTCACTATTTTGAATTATCTAAATTAATCAGTCTACACACTTTCTGTTTTGTTTTAAAGGGAGAGAGATGGCTGGATGTCTCCACATGACTAATCATGGGATATGGTGCTTTTAACCTTCTATTTTGTCAACCAAAATGGGAGTAGGCCGCTAAGTCTGGCAGTCGTTACTGTTTACATAGTACATAGATGGTCTAGGCTCTAATCAGGAGAATTGGCAATCATGGCATTCGGCAGCCTGAATGATAACTTACTGATCTGGACGCTGACCTGTTCTGTCACCTGGAAAAGGCAGCCCTCCTAGTGAAGCTTGAGGCACAGTCCACTGGACATCGAAAGCTGTCTGAAAGACTAGACTCAAGGTTATTTCAATCTCTCTGCACCAAATTCTGCCATGAAGTGGGGGGAGAACATTGAGTTCAACTGCAGGTCTTCCACACACCCAAGCAATTAACAAAATAATGCCACCTATTAGCTAAACACCTACAAAGCATRTTTTTAATGCACATGTCAGGCCACATGTGTTATTTGTGATTCATACACCTTTCTGCTCACCYTACCCCCTTGTTCTTGTCTCTGCAAGACTTACATACGGAAATTAAATCCAGTATGAATATTCCTTTTCATGGGTTTATACAGCAAATAAAATACTTATTTCACTGAAGCGCATCAGAACTTCAGGTGATTTCTACAAAGACATAATTTTTGCCAGAGTTCTTACAGTGAGAGAGATCCACTGTTCTGCTATTTCTGCATCTTCTAAGACTTTAATCACTTCTGTTTTAAAAAGCCTTACTTTAATTTTGCTTGAAAGACACATTTAGAGGATCATAATCTATTTATTTCCATATTAAAGAGAGAAATCTATCTAAAAACCCACTGTGAAAAAACTCGCCTGCATCACTTATGTTAATATTTCTCCCAGAGCTGGACAAGTTCTGATATTATCAATAATGCTGTTGCATAAGCACAGGAGTAAATAGCAGTTACATTACACATTGATACCTAGTGCAATAACAGAAATATATGTGGGAGTAAAAACTTAGTACTTGCAAATAATTTTTCTTTCCGTACTAATACTCCTACATATGACAAAATCCTGTAAAGATTTATAGGCAAAAGAGAGAAAACAAGAGAACAAACAAAAGGCCTTATACAAATTTAAAAACKAAGGGAGTACTCATAGTAAGGTCAATATTTAGCACGTAAGTTTGTTTTCTATGGTTCAGCTGTAGCATCTATGTATGGTTATGATCACCCAATGTTACCAACATGCATGTGTATCACTTTAGCAATGTATGTGAGCACAGGTTCATTCCCTAYAGAAAGCAAGATGATTAGGTTTACCTATACCTGATAAAATTACTGGTAAGATTTGCACTGAGCATTCAAGCAGATCTCCCAAATATAAGACTTTGCAAACCTGCACATATTTATCCCACTATTCTGTGGGGCTACCTAGGTATGGAAAGTGCTGGACCTATGCAGTAATGTGCAATATCAGAGCCCAGAATGACAGCCTACAAGAAGCAGGGCTCAACACTGTTCTTAAAGAAAGCAATATTTTTGCTCAAATTAGTATTGCAAGATCATTGCAACCATGTTTAATTTAAAATGTTTTAAAATGTTTAAATGTTTAAAATGTTTAAATGCTTTGAAAATAAAATAAAAAAATAAAATGGAAAATAAAAAAATGGAAAATAAAATGGAAAAGAGGAAAGAAAGATATGCTGGGAGTAAGAAAAATTACACAGAGGGACTTCAAAAGAAGAAAAATTATGCACCTGAAAGGAGTACTTAAGCTAGGATAGCATACTTTGATGGCAATATCCAATATGTGCTGGAAGATCCATTTAAAATGGCTCTTGTTTGTGTACTCTTATTTGCAATTTTTCATTTAATGATCATACTTTTTCCTTAACAGGTGTCTATAAGCTAAAATACTGTATAAGTCCAATTCAAAAAAGAATAGAATTTAAGTTTCTGATTGAAAGCAAACCCTGCTCCTGCCTAATTTTGGCAGAGTGAGAAGCTCCAGAGGCTGCGTGCAGGCTGTCACGTAAGAGGGCCCTTGGTGGTGGCATCAAGGCCACTTCCCACGTGGGCTCTTGCCACGCTCCGTGTGGGCAGGAGCGCCCTGGCTTGGCTTGGGACAGTGCAGRGTGTTCCCCTTGGGACCAACAGAGCCAGGACACACTTGCAGTTTAAGGGCTCACTCAGAGGTGCACTTACCTGGTGTGTGAGTGGGCCTTAGCACCTGCTGCATAATCCAGACAGACTCATCTACCTTAATCCGGCTTCAGTGACACCATATGACTCAAACTGGGCAGAAAAGAGTCCTGAGGTCCTTCTTAGAAGGCAATGAATAAGGATAACATACATGCCAAATGGAGCCTGCRAGGACACCTGAACTTTGCACCGTTCATGAAAGAAGCTGGAGTGTAGTGGGGACATCGCCACTGCCACCAGTGGTATTAGTGACAACAGCCAAGTCCAGGATCTGGGGAACTGAGACCTCATTTTGTTCTTTTATAATCAAATAACTAGTAGGGGCTCTGTCATGTCTTCAGACATCAATAAATTATTTTTCAATGAGATGCAAATGAATTCAACCTTCATAAACACTGGGAGCAAAGTCAAAAAACCCACATAAGGACTCTATATAGTTTATGATTACAACAGATCAAAGTAGCTATTATTAATAAAATTAATGTCACCGAAATCTTTGTAACATAATTTTAAAGTATGTCTGTCTCCAAGAGTTCCATCTTTGAATATTTCTAGCAAGAGAATAAAAAGCATTATATCTTTTTATTTTCATATATATATAWTATATATAAAAATAAAAATGAGTGAGGAGATTGTAGCACTCCTTACACATCCAGTTGTGTGCATCTACCTTCACAATTAGCCTGTTACATGAAYTTCTTCATCACAACTTCATGAAAAAATCTCGGTAGCCTGCAYGGACACACTGTGTTTCAGAACTCCTTCCTCTGTGTAAGTGGCTCCTCTGTACGTAAAGTCCAGAACTTGACTCTTTGCCTGCGGCAGGAATTTTAGTTTAGTCATTCTGTATTCACAGTGCTGACCATCAACCTTTTGACCGCTACACAGTTGCAAACTTTTGTTTTCTTTGGGGGCAGCTGGAAGTCACTAGAAACTAAATTTACTGTAAGATGTTTTTGAGTTATGCTTGAGGAGACTGAGGGCTGCTTCTAGAAGCCTTTTTTTAGGGCCAYGTGCCTTTCCAAAATTTTCTTCCGAAGCTTCCACGTCCAATACCTCTTTTAAGAAAAGGCTTAGAGCTTCGCTTCCCTTCAATCTGTGGCAAAAGATGGGACCTTCACAAGACTGGTATTCATCAAATGTTCACACAGTCATTCTAGTTAGCAGAAATGGCTGCTTACTGGAAAGTTTTGAGCAATTCATACCGGTAAACTTAGTAAAAATACATAYGGAAGTACTAGGGTGATCTGAATATCTGCATGAACTTGGGAGATGCTCTTCATAATCGGGACTATGGTTTCTTACGATTCAGCCGAGAATCATTAAAAAAGGGGAAACATAATGGCAAATTGTTAGAAAAGGTGTCAGTAATAAGGACTCTACTGTATTTCCACTAACTATCACCCCTATGGAAGATCATGCTAAATAGAAAACTCTTTTCCTAGGGCAGAAGAAGCCCTGACACTTTATTGCTAGATTCTATAGCAATTGGAGCTCACTTACAGTAACCTTATAGTACTCTATATAAACTGAGAAGCTTGTATCAAATTCAGGCTTCCATTTAAAATAGATATTGCAGATATTAGGCTTCAATTAAAGAAGAAAAATAACCTTCAGTGCTTCTTTTTTTTTTTTTTTTAAAGGCAAAGTATAAAAAAAAATCACCAAACTAGGTGAGAGTTATTAAATTTCTCCAAAAAATTAAGATGAGCTTTCTTCTATTTCTTGAGACAGTACAGTTTGTGATTCACAGGGTAACTGGTATCAAACACAAGTTAATGAAAGCTCTTATAAGTAATTTTATTCCTATCCATAATGGCAGACATTTACAAAATCAGAAGAATTTATCATTTGAGTTCACCTTAAAAAATAACTTATAAAGCAGTGATATATGCAACATAAAACAGTTCAGGAGGGGAGAGGGAAAGCAAATTTTAATAATTAAAATGTAAACGTGAAAAAAAAAAAAGATGGAATAGAAGTCCCTACTTCTCATTTCTACTTAAGATGCCATGTGATAATATTTTACAATGTCCTGCAGGCCTATATATGTATGTGTGTATTTCCATATCACACACACACACACATATACACCAGCTCATACATGTACATACACAGATAATTGTTTGCAGTTCCATCTTGGGCAGTTCTGTTACGCCACTCTTTACAGTTGTCTCAAACATGTTTGGGACCCACTTTCTTGACAAAACTGGGGAGATGGTAGAAAAAAAATGGTGGGTCTGATTGTATCTGAGATCCTTTTGTTAAACTGTACACTGGGACGAATAATTTTCTTCTGCAGTAGCTCTCTGAAGAGGGCCAACTCACTGTGGTCTTCATGAGGAGACTTGATAACGGATCACACACTCATTGTCATGCTAGGGGAGTACTGAAAAAAGAGGAATTCACATTTTAACAACAGTTCTTTCCCAGCTTTCATTTCAACCAGTTCTGGAGAGCAGCAAGTAGTTTAAATAATGTCAATACCCTATTTGCATTTTCTCCTTAATTTGTACTAGAGCATTCGCTAAGGAGGCTGTAGTTCAATTTGTGGTATCATAACTTCTGATATTCTTCTCTCATTCGGTAAAAATACAGCTATTGGTGATGAGATCAATTCACTTGCATTCAGCTTCAGTGCTGGGTACTGCAGCCTAGGTACTGGGGTAAATGAGTATTTCACTGATGCTTTTCACACCTTTATCTTGTTGACTACTGGGAGGATTTAGCTGGGCAAATAGCTAATCTCAGGTTGACACATGCAGTTACTTGAGCCACTTAACAATTCTGGAGAGCTTTTTATTTCTTGATGGGAAAAAGCGAGTGAATATTTCTCTCTCTGGAATTAAAATAGGCTTAAAACAGTTTTTAAATTCTGCATGATAGACTGCGGGAGGCAAGCTGAATTAAGCATCAGTGTTCAYTCTTCTTTATGTGAACTGAAAATCCAGTTACCACATTACAGTATTATTGTAGCACCAATTGAGCTGCGGGTCTTATGCAAGCTACAGTTGCCCTCATGTTAGCAATACTTCATTACCAATAATAAACGGGGCACTGTGATGTACATTTATACCATTTCAATTCTTATTTTAATTGAAACTTGTAGGCTGCAGAAGTACAGAATTGGCCTGAAATCTTCTAAGTAGAGGAAAATAGTCAAATGCAAAAAGTATTGATTATATTCGTAAGTGTGATGAAAACTGATACAAGAAACAGAATGATCCTAATTTGTCTTTTCAAAAGACAGATAAGTAATAAGAAACTGCCAAAGCTAGAGTTTGGAGCTTACCATGTCTAAGTGCCCAATTTAGACTTGGACTAAGTCTAATCCAAGACTAGACTGATTTTCTCTTTCATTTAGACTGATCTTTTCTTTCATATTAGCTACACAGAATTGACCACCTGGGTAAAATCCATTTTTCCCCATGTCATGTATCTGACAGTTCCTCTGCTTTAGGGCTTACTCCCATCCTGTGCTGAGCCTGCAAACTTTGCAAGAATATGCTTATCCATTGAGGGAGACCAACTCAAATATTTGAAATTAAGCACCTACTCAAACCATTTCCTTATCAAAGCCAAAGTTATTGGTTCTTGGGTAATCACTTTGGACAAGGAGTAAGTGGCATTTTAAATAGCGTTCTGTAAAGATAACCCAGTGCAGTTAAACCAGTGTTTATTCGTGATTTTAAAATTATCATTAATCCATTTCTTTACCCCTTCTGCCCCAGGCAAAACTCGTAGTGAACTGGATCAGGAATTTGCCTGAAGAGTTATTTCACAATAATATCTACTCTAAGTAGCCGAATAAGAAAACATGAATCAGGAAGCAAAACAGTTCCCATGAACTAAAATGTGACTTGTGCTGAAGAGAACTAATACCTACAAGCACATAGAAGGCATAGCAAAATTTTGAGAAAATTCAAATGCCCAGATAGGCAAATAATGCATCTAAAATCCAGTAAGTATTTGAGAAAACTAATGGTCTTTTGAGTACAATAAATGTCCTTATTTTGGTGAGGTTTTGGTTTGGAGAACTGGCTCTCTGTAGTACAAAAAAGCAAGCTGGATTGAGAGTCAAGAACTGCCATGACCAAGGATCCCATTTAACAGAGCTTTTGTGGTTGCTGCTTTATTGCAGATTTCAAAACATCAGTCTTTTTGCTTTGTGCAAACCAATTTTCTTCAACACTCCAAACAATCTGAACACATGCCCTTACACAGAAAGCTCACATGCAGAAAATGTTCCCTCTTCCTTTTCACTAGTTTAAGAAACAAACCAAAACCAAAAATAAATCTGATTTCCATGAAATTTGCCATGCAATTTGACCATGATATGATCTAAAAGAAACTGTTTATTTCTCAAAATTTCTGAGTGAAAATTCACCACTGGCATAATTAATGGGGTTGCAGTCACTTCTCAGAGCAGTGAATTCGAATAAGAATAGAAGTGTTGAAGTCACTCAGCACTTCTGAAAAATCACTTCTACTTAGGAACCTAAATGGGGATTTAGAAACCCAACTTCAGGCACAAAAAAATTGAATATATAAGTCTTGTTCTGCAATATATTTGGTATCATATTTTGCAACCTTAAATATTTTCTATTTTTAAAAACATCAGTTGGCTGGTAACGAACACTAGAGGGCATCTTTGCTTTTTTTTTCTGGTTCTCAAAGCACACTGCATCCTCTCAACATGGGATCTCCTGGACTCTCATTATATGCGTCAGTGTGAATCGTCATCTAAAAGATATTCTTGCCTGGCAAATTCCTTGTTCAGAAGTCAAAAGTTGGGCCACTAGTAGCTGAGACACTAAAATGTAAAAATGTGCCATCCACACATATCTAGGTTCCATACATATTGCCCATTGGGTGTTACTGTGCGTGGCATGATCATTACTGCGTGATACATTTCCTTGACAAAATGACCTCTCAGTCTAGAAGTCGAGTTTCTGCAGCAAAATGATTCTGCAGCCCTCCCCACTTCGCAATTACAGCTCAAATTCTAACAGTATTTGGCACAATTCTTTAGTAAATTAATACCATAATTTTAGGAACCAGTAAAAAACATATAATGTAAAGCATGGCATTAAAGGTATACTACCAAACTCTTTGTTTCGTTATTACTATTTTTTTTCTAATAAATACCCACAGATTGAAGGTTTGCCAAATAAAGAGGTGCTTAAAGAAATACTTACACTCTCACTCTGAAAAGGGTTTAGGAAGTTTCCACCCATCTCACCGTCATCCCTGGGAGTGCCAGGCTGATTACTCATGCTCATATTACTGGGAGAGTTCTGTTAAAGGAGATTTTAAAATACAGATTTCAGTTATTTTCCCACTTTTGCCAAGTGTGTCAAAGCATTAGAGTGTGTCCATATAATGCACTGGGATTTCTGAAGATGAAAGATAAAACTCTGCAGAGTTCTGTATGCTTCAATTACTAATTTTAACCTGTGTTTTCTCTCCTAAAATAACAATCATTTACCTTTAATTCTCACTTTCAGGTTATAGCCAGTATCTTCTTCTAGTGCATTCAGGAAAAATGACAAATGGCTTTGTAGGAATAACAGATAGCTCTCTAACTACATTAAATCATTGCAGTCAAATTCAGCGGAGAACATGAGCATGTGTCCTGACATAAGTGATTCTGGATTATGTACTTAAAGGTAGACAAGTGAACAGATCCAGGCCACACGGACCTTTGCAGATCAAGATCTGCAGTTGGAGTCTTTGTTCATAGTGCCTGGCTTGTTGAAATAGCTTCTAATTCAAATTTTGAGTTGCTAAATCACCAAAAGTTATACACAGAATTTATAGATAAAAGAGTTAACAATTTTAAGATAAAAGGTGCCCAAATAGCAGCCAGCCACTGGACTAGCCTTGTTATTTGCTTGCACAGAGCATAAGGCAGTACGATCTTAATTTACTTTTCAAACGCTGAGGTGCGACTGAATTGCTAATAAATAATGATAATACAAAGTCTTATGAAAAAAACCCTCTTCTTCTGCTCCTGCACCACCACCACTACAATGTTCAGAAAATATTTTCACAATTCAGTTAGATACAGAAAAAGCAAAATAAAGGAAGTGTCCCAGGAAATACTCAGGGTCAATGGCTAATACATGATTATTGTAGACACTATAATTAGTTAGGTGTGTTTATAAAATTGATTTGTGGTACGCTGCCATGCTTGAGGCACGGATAATTCCCTCAGTGTTAGATTCCCCGTAATACATGTTTTGTGGTGCAAAAGGAATAGTCAGGGAAAAGGAGGAGGGAAATCATGAACTCCACCTAAAATGTTTAGTACATCTACCATAGAACTTCTCTTGAATATTTTAAATCCAGAAAGTTTAAACACAATATTGCTGTTGAGATTTTACATACACAAATGCATCAGGCTTTAAGTTTCATCTGCCTCAATAAACTGAACACCAACCTCGTATTGTCAATAGGTAAGCTAAGGGAATGCAACTCTAATACCTCTCATCACAGAGATCAAACGATAACAGCTGTAAGAACCATAAGTCAATTTCTTTTCTCTTTCTTATGTTAATTCTCAATTACAATGCTGACAGAGTATTTATGAAGCTTCTTAACATCTTGTCCTTAGAAAATAAATGCATGTTGCCTTCATTTAGTGCAACTAAGACTGCAACAGGGAAGAATTTTGCATGGTTACTGAAAGGCTACTCTTAAATTTCAACCATATTCCCCCAAAGAAAGGCCCCCATTTTCACTGGACTTAGCAAATACGTTTCTGTGTTCAGCTTGATGTATTTATTTTCAAGTACARAGGAAATATAGAATTAATTACATAACCCCATGCAGGCATAACTGATTTTAATTAGCACCTCAAACACAGCTTATAGTAAAGATACAAGAGGTCAAGATGCCTGCCTGAGCCCTTTGGTTTTCTTCACAATCTAGATCACTGATTTTTAAACTGTGATTCTCAGATCTCCATCAATCACTGGAGAACACCTGAGGGGTCCAGCAAAGGCAATTAAAAGAATTAACTAGTTAACTAATACCARGCAATTAAGTTTGCTATACATCAAAGCTAGCATAGCAAATATTTAGGAATCCTCAACTTGGAAAATGCTGACAGCTTTAGTTCAACCACAGTTACTGACCTTGAAGCAGAAGTAAAGTCAGGGAAGTCCTGTTGCCTGTGTGTTTCACAGGAACTTATACTAGACAATCACCTCACTCCCTTCTGGCTTYAAAATCTACAAAACTCTAATAGACTTTAAAAACTGCTAGGGCCTTGTCACAATTATGTTATATGATGGTCCTWCCTTTTTCTTTTTATTCCTTGGTGATTTATCCCTATTTTATCTTGGTCTATATAGCACTGAGCTTTGAAATTGTGCTATTGCTACAGTGTGGCACCCCAAAGGTTCAAATTCCCCAAATAAACACTTTTATAGCAACTTCCCTGGGCTGCTTTCATGGTCAGTATGGGGTCTAGCATTGTTAGCAGTAGCTGAGCTTTTTAAGAGCAAGTATTTCTTTGATGAGGGCACAGATTCCATGGGCACTGCAAGAAACACTGGTTATTAGTCTTTATTTAATATGCATAATTTCAATTCATTTACTTCCCCCATCTCAATCTCTAAGAACTTCACGTTTTGCCATTGTGCCAATTAAATTAAAATCTCTGCTGGAAAATGTAGCTATGAATTCTGTGAACTGTAGATTCTACCAAGACTGGACTAATTTTCAGTATCTCAGGGGGACAGATGATCAGCTCCTCTAACATACATTTTACTCCAACAAGATCCTGTGCCTGCACTTGAGCATCTAGCACCACAAGTCCCAAACTGTGTTACTTTCAGAGAACAATTTGTGCCACATTAATCAGTGATCTGCAAATCTACGTGTGAAAAAGCCAGGCACACAACTAGCTGGTGATGTATAGAGAGATGGAGCAAGTACAACCCTGGTAACTATACAGAACTGCAAGGCAGCCAGATATTAATTTTGCWTGTATCAAACCCCAGAAATCCGCAGACATACTGCTGTGCTCCTACTTTCCAGGGAAGGCCATGCAAAGTTGTTCTGAGGTTATAAATCAACTATCAAATTTTAAAAGAACTGTGTTGCCCTATGATGAATTTCTTCTGATGTCAGCTTATGTCTTCTACACCGTCAGGGACTGCAAACAACACAGCGTAACTCCACATGCAGACAAGTGCACTTCTATAAGCCACATCTCTCTCCCATCTCCCTGCCAAACTGGGGGAGAGCGTAAGGTTTTCCAGGTTCCAACCTCCTCCACCTTGGATATCCAAGTACGTGTCCCTATCTCAGTGTGAGCCTAGGATGTATCTTCAGTGACACCCCTAGGGTGACCAGAGCACGTGCAGATGGGCCTTAGGCAGAGTCTGTGCAGAGACCTTTGGCCACAGTACTGCCCTGCTTAGTCCCGGCTCACTCAAGAACCACCAGCAGGTAGGTTGTTCATTCCACTCAAAATGTCATGTTTTTCTTTTGGAAATGGAAGAGAATTTTGTTACAGTAATATCAAATTAATGAGTTATAAAATTTTAACTGTAACAACTCCTTCCATTTCTATATTTATAGATCAAAAGTACTGAAGTGCAGGAGATTGTTTTAGCTGCATTTCTGCTAGTTCCTGTCAGTTGCATCTGCAAATGCTGAGTACAAAACACTGTGTTTTACAGGGACAGATTTCTACCATTTTATCARCACTGAATAAGCTCATTAATTCCTTATTTGAATAAATTCCTAAATTAATAATGATCACAGATGTAGTAGGCTTTTATTTTTAAAGAAGAAATGACACATTCAAACATGATATGCTTTTGGAGATGCAACCCCCTGCAGGTTCAACTCACATTGCATATACTATTTAATGGTATCAAAACAGTACTTTTTCTGCAACTATTTTTAATCTTGTTTTTAGGGACTTAGTGATTAAGATATTAGCATTGCTTTACAGAGGTGACAAATGCAATCATGCAGTGCATAAAAGTAACATCCTAACGACATTTTCCAAATTTATGTTTAACTAGAATTGATTATTAGACCAATACTCATTTGTCTTAACAGTATGGAAGCGTATAAAATGACCAACCAGATTGTGAACTGGATAAATATTAATCACATTAATTAACACACACCATTATGCAATAGAAAATAAGTCTGCTTATATTCTCTATTGATACATTTTTAAAGTTGCATCTAATGCTAATTAATGTCTTCACATCCTCCAAAGAATAAACAATCAAAAAATGYAGATACATAACAAAAATATTAACAAAGCCTAGTACACATGTTTAAGCCCAAAATATCATTCTTATAATTCCAAATATTTTATTAGATACTCACTTTGGAAATACTGTCCATGTCTCCTGAGCCTTAAATTAAAACAGATTGTTATTCCATTAGTTTTGAACAGAAATTAAGCCATGATATTGTCATATTTAAAAACAGAGTTTAAAAGCAATACATTAAAATGTAACCACGCTTGAACCTTCTTTCATCCCCTTCTTTCTCTCAGAGAAAGCGTACACTCAGTTATTAAACGGTGGTAGTTCTTCTTTGTGTACACAGTTAGTACAAAAAAGTGGGAAAGAATGAAGGATACAGTTCTGATCTGTATCAGATCCTTCAATCCTTTAGGATGAGGCAGCCTGGCATAGTGCAAGAAAAGATATGCCCAACCTCCCTGTTCTCTTTAGCCATGGTAGTGAACAGCTATTGCAGATCATCTGGAGTACATGCATCCAAGGGAAACATTGCTTCACATTGAGAAGTGAAATTATATATATATTATAAGATATGTTATAATAATATATAAAAGATACTGTCTTGAAAAAAAAAGATGACCATTTTTACTGAACTTTAGCTATCCAAAATTCCCTAGAAAACTGCTAGTGAAAGTAGTATTCTCAGGATCAGCTGGAGGTAGTGGTATTTCTTCAGTGTCTTTGTCCTGAAAAGCCTGTCTACAAGTGAAATTGGCTGATATGATATCACCTTTATAGTTGGTACAAATATTGATGAAAACAATGTCTTTCAGGAAAAAAAAAGGTGTTCTAAGAAGCAATGGAGTAACATAAACTAAATAAAACTCACTGTCATGTGTCCAATATTAAATAGTAAAAAGAATATTTCTCAGATACAGTAGCTCTCACTTGCCTAAAATCAAGAATAAATGAAATAYACTTTATCAATAAAAGTATTTCTAACAGCATCAGACAGTAAACAATTCTTGCCACCTATTTTCAGGRAAGACAAATTCAAATTGGAAGAGTGTCAAAGAAAAATAATCAAGAAAATGGAGTTGTGGGAAGAAACTGAAATTGCATGGTATACTTAGCAAGGCAAATTAAGGCTGAGAGGATTCTTCTGTCTAAGTATTCCAGGTATGCCAGAAACATAAACTCTGGGAAGAAGAAGAGTCATTTTATCATGGACAAGTGGATAAATTTTGGTGGAAATAAGATTTCTTTCCAGCTGTAAAAGCTAGGGATAGATACCCAGTAGCAGGGTTGTGGGCAAAGAAGCTAGAAGAGYTCAAGATGGATCGTGACCAATGTATGCTCATGATTATGTGACAGAGCTGCCTACTGCAGCATGGAATGAAATGCAGGAGATCTCTCCCAGTCCTACACTCCTAAGAGAACTCAGGTTCCATTCTAGAAATGAWATAAACCTTAGAAAGCAGCTGTAGTTAATTTGACTAACCGCGTAATTATTTGCTCTACAGAAAATAACTAACCAAATGCGAGGTTGACACAGAATCCTTCTGAAACTGTTTCAACTGTCACTTTTCTTTAGCTAAGAAACTATTCGCAGGCTATAAGAAGGAACAAAAGAAGAAAAAACTGTAAACAAGTTTTTCATTTGCTTTAAAATAATGTAACATCATTATTAATTAAAGCAGTAACTTGATTCGGGATTGTAATATGTAATAAGAAATGCTATAAAGTCACAAGATGGCCTTATGAAAGGGTATCTAGGAATTTCAGAGACCTGTTTTCCCAGAAGAAAAACTGTTGCTCAGAATATGTCRGTTTAGTGAGGTTTGATGGTCTCCAGTTAAAGCTTTTTCTTCTCTCCTTGTCATAGCTTTTTCCAATTTCTTGATTATACATCTTGCTTTATAATCTCCAGCTTCTGGGGTATAGCTGTGGCAACTTTTCATCCACTATGGCAATACGGAATGAAAAGGTGTTAATGGTAGTGGGGGATTTAAGCTGGATTGTGCTGGGAAGATGATAGAGCTCTTCTTCAGGGATAGAAGCAGGGGGAACTGTGATAGCTTGGCACGTGCATGAGCATCATATTTGTACTTGCTTGGTTTTTTTTCACCATAAAGGAAAATACTGTTTAGCAGAGTGTTGCTGGCACGTTGTGGATGCATAAGACCAGCATCCAGATGTAAAAGAGAACCTTGCTGGTAGGAAATGGAGATAAAAGAGGAAAGAAATGAGAAGTCTTTGCAGATTGAGTTTCCCCGTGTCGTTGCCAGCATGACCTACACTCCTTAGTGCAGGTAGAAGCAGGTAGAAGAACAGAACCTGGAAGCAAGCTGGATTCAAAGTTACTTGCATGCTATAAGCACAATAAATACAAAGGATTTATTTATCTTGTCAGTAAGAAAGAGGAAGGATTAAATACAATTTATTGAGTTGCAGCTTCTCGCTCAAATCCCTTTCAAGTCTCATTCATCCTCCCAGCAAACAGTAAGAAAAAATGTTCACTAGACTAATCAGAGGATAAAGCAGTGCTTGTTTTGTAGGCCTATGAAAGCCTTTTCTCCCTTAGGTAGGTGTCCTTAAAAAAATCACAGTGTCAAAAGTCAAACTGCACAGTCTTCTTGCAGCCTCTGCATACCCACATGAGAATGTATGTTCTTTCTTGGTGTGTTAAATGACTACCATGAAGCATCTTAAGAAGAGGGAATAATAAAACTAATATTTAAGAGACAGAAGCTAATGTTGGAACAAGTGGCATCAAGCTGTTGGGATTACAGAAGCCTAACACACAGATCAATATATGTAATAACTTACTTCCATGTACTTAGTAAGACCTGGCACCAGCATGTCATACAGAGATCTTCTCAAGTGTTTAAAAGAGGAAGAGCGGTAAGGAGAAAAGGGTCTTATGCCATCACTTCTACATTATTGTGATGATATAGCTTTAGAAAAGCTTTAGTCAACTAGTTTAAACTTATACTCTGTTATATAGATAACATTCAGTAATTTTCTTCCAGAGATGCACTATATATGCCAATTCATGTGTTTCAAAACTATCTTAATATTTAAGGTTTTGTTATATATACAGCTTCTTAGTTTCTGTAAGTTGTTTACATATGATCTTACACATAATTCAGAGAACTAGTGATAGAAACAGAGAACTAGTGATAGAAATGGCACTAGTCACTGAAAATTCACAATGTTCATAACATTTATCATCTTTACCTAATGATCCATTCATATGATGTGAATCCATTCCACCTAGTCCACTCATAGGTCCATCTGACCCTGGCCCCATTGGAAACTAAAAAAGGGATCAGACATTTAAAAACTGGTGTTACTTAAAAACTGGCATTACTGTACAAATTTATTGTAGATAATCTAGTAAAAACAAAATATTTCTCAGAAAAAAATAGCAAAGGGTAAAATGCACAGTTCCATCTCTGCATGTGAAAGTACAGTGAAAATGAAGACTGCAACGCTCGTTATTGCCTTTGTTTACTTCTAATGGTACCCTCATGATTTTTGGAGAACCTCATCTGTATAGGCTGGCATATGACTTAGAAATGCTTTATACTATATATGCTTTGTGTGTCAATTTCAAATATGTTAATAACTATATTCTCTTTGAAATTAAAGACAATTTTACTACATACTTCTATCATTAAGCAATATATTTCAAATCCCACCTTGCTTATGCTGACAATGCTAATCTGCAATATGCAGCCTTTGCAATATAAAAATTTCTATCAGATTTCAGCTATTAACCTTAAATTCAATGCATTAGCATTACAGTGCATTTGCTAAATTCACTGATTTTGCAATATCTACATACCTATATCCTTAAAATTCTACAGGACATTTTTTCAAAAGGCCATGTTTCAATATAGACAAAACATTGTAGTAATCAGATAAATTAACTAAACTACACTGAAGGCACAGAAAGAGAAAAGAAACAAGTTCTACAAATCCAGATTTTCTGTCAGTTCTAGACTAGAATTTCTAGAGTAGTTCTAGACTAGAATTGCTAGTCCTAGTCAGTAGAGGAGTTAAGGAGGCAAATATTTGTATGTTATTATTAATCATTCTTAACATCCTATTCAGATAATCAGGGAAGCTAACTTCTTAATACCTTAATAATAAGATATTAAATCTATCACTTTTCATGGAGTGGTAGGGCAACATAGCATTGGGTTCCTTTCAGTGGTTTGCATCTCCCTCTTCAGGAGTAGAGACATTTTATAATGACAGCTTAAATCCTGCAGAAAATAATGTTTTATGGCAGCTCCTAGAATGGTTGCACTTGCACTCTACAGAAGTCTACTGCACTGCACTGTGACAAACTAAGCTATCTCCAAGATTCACGTGCACACGTTTTAAAGGTCTTTCCTCGAAAACAAAACAAATAAACAAACAAATAAAAAGACCCCAATGATTATTTTGTACGTATTAGCATGACTGATTTGCAAAACATTACAAGCACTAAAAATGACACTTCGGTGTTACCCATTATCATGGAAAACTTAGTATTAATTACATGTAATGGAAATGTGGTAGTTTGGATAAAACAGAGCTGTATAATTCAAAATAATAGACCTAGATTTATACTTACGTTAGGTCTGTTGGGTCCAGGTGGTACTGCATTCATTAAAGTGTACATGTTGTCTCCAGAGTTGGTTGAATCTGTAATAAGAGATTATTTTAAGTGCTAATATATACCTTTCAATAAAAAGACTCACCTAATACATTTCTTGTCATTTTGTTCATATTATTTCTCTGCCTGAATCACTGATACACAGTGGCMATATAATGGAAGATTTCATTCCCATGTTATCTATTTCTACCACAAAACAGAACTATGAAAAGGAATAATTGCAATGGTCCCTAGGTGACTACTTCTAGACTCTAGTTTTATGCATGACTGTTAAAAGGTTTTTAAATCACAAGTATCTGTAACTATGTAATGCCTTAAACCCTTTTTCCCAGAGTTCTAAATTACTTCACTCATCTTCAACATTCTTTATAAAACAGGAGTTTCTGTCTTAGAAATACTCCCTGTATTTTGTTTTCCATCTGTAATAATCCATAAACAGCTCATTATACAGACTTCACATTTGTATAGCCAATGAAAATCTTTTGTTCTCATCTGTGTGGGTCTACCATATTTTGGATATATCTAAATATTCAGTGGCTTACTGTGCAAAGGACAGCTTTAGCTCATATATCCTCATGGTACAGAGTGGTGCAATGTTTCAAAATTGGCCCAAGTMCAAAAGCAACAAAATTACGTTGGCACTGGGTGATATCTAACCCAGTAAGTTCTGCCAAGAGTTTTACTGGGCTTTACCGGACATTGACTGAGCCCTTTTGCTTCTTGGCCTGGGATTAGCTCCCACAGAACCAGAGGAGAGCTGGGTCCTTTTCCTCCACTTAGTGTATGTGAACTTTCAAACTAGAGCACCTTGAAATGCAAGGTTGGGCAAACAAGACATACAGAGCATAACCCACTTRATTCTTCTGGTTGAACTTAAAAGAAACCTATGCCTACTGCTAACACACACGAAGTTTTAATATACTTTATCAGCATTTGTAAGGAGGAAAAAACAAAAAAATGCAGATGAGTATACAAATTAGGCAAAAACCTTCCACAAGGGAATAGACAAGAGATAGGGCATGTAACATCAAAGTTTACTGAGCAGAAAATGACCTCAGAAAAGGCTAAATAAATCCCTAAGGGCACTGCATATCTAAAAAACTAGGTAACTCTGAAAATACAGTATCTCTACAGTGGCTGCAACAAGAGTAAAAGAATAGCTAAGCAGCTCAATATCACATGCAAGTGTTTTTATACTTTGGAAAAGAGGAGCCTTAAAACATCATAGAGTTTCTTTAAGTGAAAATGGAAACAATTCCTCATCAGAGGCTTTATTCAGAGTGCACCCACACAACTTACCCATGTCATAACCATAATGCTGATTGTTTTTAAAAGTGCAGGCTCTCTATTAGTTTGTTTCTATGTTAAAAGAGATTTTAGTTTTTAACTACCAGGTCACATTAATTATCTTCTTCACCAAATATACGAACAACAAAGTCCTACTCGTTATCTCAGATAGCATTTCTTAAAGATCTGGAATAGTATGCAATGAAGATTTTACAGTGGTGGAAGAAGTTTTCATGGGAAGTCAGAAAACTTCCCCTACCCTCTTGTGCTGTAAAGAACAGGAAGAACATGCAGGACTGAGGACTTAGAGCAGMAGGTGAAAGGGCCCCTTTCAGCTGGTGAAAGCGTGCTATGGAGACAGATGTTTGCTAAAAGGAACCCAAATAGCTAATGCTATCCAAGGGAGAAGAGCATTCTCCCAATCTTGCAGTTTCTCCTTCAGGTCACATATGTTGCACAACAGTGATGGAGGAAGATAACAGCATCTAGCTGACCAACTCTGAGCCCTGAGAACCTAGTTAGCAGCCTTGAATCMTTCCTTTGTTCTCCTTGATTCTTTAAACTTGAACAGGAATGGTGGCCAACTTTCTGGATGGCCAAGTTCTCCTTGCGGCCAGAATTTCAAGATGCAGATATTGCATCTGGGAGAAACAATGCAAAACTGAGGTGCTAGGAACAGGTCACAACCAGGTCATGGCAATTGTCCCTTTGGGGCTCTACTCCTCCACTGCAGAACAGAGCAGAGTGACTGCCCAGCACTACCCTGCTGTCAGCCAGCTGAGGTAGCCAGAGACTGCAAGGATGCTTGGGGTTTACATGGAGCTCAGGAGCCATTCATTGATCTGGTCTACCCATAGGGAAACTTGAACTGGATTCAGAAATTGCCTGATTTCCAAACTGACGGAATTGCCCGAAAGGATATGAGCARAAACAAATATATATTCTTCTTTCTTCTTTTTTCTTCCTCACTATAGCTAAAATGATGCAAGAAAAGATGGGTTCAAGGGCCAGAGATATGAATTGCTTTGAACTGTAGAGATATGGTACAATGCTTTATATCTCTGCAGCATGGCAGGGAGGGAAAGAGAGTGAAAGAGCATTAAGAAAAACTGATACAGAAAGTACAAAGCTAATATCTTTTCATTAGCTGCTCCTTGCTGAAAAATGTATATAAATTGGATCTATCCATTTGTCTGCATTAATATCATAGAAAAATCTGGAAAAAAAAAGGAATTTGTGCACTTCCTAAAACCCTTAATAACTTGTTTTTATTTTTTTTTCTGAGTATATTTCAATACCTGCTGGACTAGGCATGATGGGTGTTCCTGGTGGCCCTCCACCTCCCGGAGGACCCTGGAGTGGGCAGAAAATTTCAGTTAGCATGAAAGGATAAAAACAAAACAAACACACACACACAAAAAAAMCAACAAAATAATAAAAAGCGAACACAGTACAAACGAACAAGAATCATCATCAAAGTCGTGAGTTATTCTAGTAAAAACAAACACATTTTCTGATAAGCTAAGAAAACAACCCATTAAAAGATTGAGACAATCTTGTTGGTCTGGCACAGATTTCTAATATATAAAGAGCTGTGGATCCAAGAAGATGCATTAGTCAAGAATGTTGAATCATGCCATGAGTCAGACGAGAAGGACATTTGATAAGGTCACAAGGCAATTGTATTTAATTCTTTCAACCCATTTTTGTTACCACTCTTTTTTCCCTCTGTCCACACATTGATGACAGCAGAATAGGGCTGGCAAAGCATAAAATAAGATCTCAGAAGAGACTAGTTACCTAAAGAAAGATCTGAAAGAAAGACTAAAGAGAGATTTGTCTTTTAGGCAGACTTGGTAACTTGATGCCCTAACAATCTTAGTTCAGTCTGTATAATGCTCTACAATTCTTTGATCCATATCCATGGATATAATTCATTCACAAATTAATGACAAAGGAATAAAAGTGTCAGGATGATGTCAGCTCCCAAATTGAGATCTATTCTTATCACTTACCAACGCTACTAAATCACAGCAAATCACAACAACCTCAAAACAACCAAACAAAAAAACCTACAGAATATCCATTGTCTTAGTTTCAGGTATTTCTGTGTTAGAAACCTACTTATGTACACAGACTTTTGCAGTTGTTAAGCAAGCTCTTTAAGATTCTTTAAGAATGTCTCAAATAATGTTATTCTAAACATGCTAATAGCTTAAGAAGAATTGAATCACTGTATCATAACTTCTTGCTTCCTCCATTTGTAGATGCATTACCATTTTTAAGTGACAAGAAACACTATGCTAATATAGTTTGATAAAACTACTCTAACGTCAATAAATAAAYTGACCTCCCCCCATCTTCCATAATGGAAATTAAGTAGCTCACCTACAAAAGAAGATTTTCATTGCTAAATAACTTTGATTATATCTTACATCTTTGTTTCATTTAAAAATAAGATTTAGCTTTTCAAACAGAGAATTTACTTTCAATAGCACTGAATACAAAGGTTTGATTATTCCTGTATATTTTAAAGGACATTGCTTTTTCCATGATACATATTCACTGAAATATTCTGGAAGGAGGCAKAGAACCTCTGGAATGAAAACTACAGACTCTGTTTCCCAATGGCCTACTAAAAATAACATTTCTTACAAAACATTTAGCAGTAATACACTAGTGAACAGCATTTTCAGACAATTAAAATCAGCACTGCAGTGGCTTTCTGACTGATAGCACTCCTCCCCAGGTTCATGCAAGTAAAATATACAGCACTTCAGGGGGAAGCACCACCATCTCCCAGTCAGCCATTAACTATGAGTTAATTGCAGATAAAAGAAATCTTTTACCCAGCAGCAACCAATCAACAGCTCTACACCTCTGTGCCCTTATACAGAGCACCGCCTTTCAGTTCTTCATCTTGTGCTTCCTCCGTATTGGGAACTAAGCTAGATCACAGTCTCCCTTTTCAAATCTCTCAGAAATAAGTCATAATAATCAATGTGTTAAGACTAAGGTTTTGCCAAAAGCATTTGAAAGGCTGATTCAGCCCTCTGCAATGGAAAATTTCTCCATTTTAGGGCTATAGACTCTAAATTCAAAAGGAACCTTTAGATCCCCTTATTCTGACCTTTTGGGTGCCACGGGCTGCGACATTTCATCCATGTACTTGGGCATCAGCTTACTAACTTCAGTTTGCCAGGTTTATATATATATTTACTGGAAGGATATCAAGAGATGTCAAAACATTAACTGATGATTTACTGCGAGGACTAATTATCCACATTATTAATATCTCCATCTATTTTTTAATTTATGTTAGCTTTACTAAGCCTCTTGGTATCAAGCTTATTTTCCCTCAGAATGTATTCATATGCAATTAAATAGTTTGTCAAAAACCTGTTTGATAAATCCATCAGCTTAAACCTTCTAAGCATGTAGCTCAACATCATGAATTTGTTGTGTAAAAACTGCCCCCAAGGCCTTGCTCTTGCTCCTGGTGCTGGAAGTCACTGCCCCTCAGTTTTACTTCTTCAACTGTTTGCAAGGCTTGTTTCCAGGTCCTCCATTTCCCCCAAAAGTGGTGAATGTTTTAAGCCCTCTCCTTGTGAGAGGGCACACAAGCTGTGTGCCGCGCAAGCCCCTCTGCTGGCAAAAGAAGTCTTCAAGCCTGGCCCACGGGAGCTGCTCCATCACGATGTGCTGCTGAAGGCCCTCAGCTCGCTTGGAGCGGCCGCTGTGAACGTTCCCCAGCCTAGAGGCCTCGAACGAAAGCCCTGCAGCCAGGAGCAGGTTCTGCAGCTGCTTACGGCAGCTTCGGCTGTTTGGAATTACAAAGGTCCCTCGGCCAGACAACTCCACCAACAGATCTGCTGGAGTGGGAAACTTCATCAGAAGAGGGAGGGTAATTAAACAGAAATTAGGAAATTAGACAGAAATGCCCCTCTCTCTCTTCCTGTGGAGGTGGTGCTCACAGAACACATATGTTCAGAAGCTCGGGCATTTTCTTTGGAATTTGAATCTTTTGAATAGTTGGATACATTTTCATTGCCTTGCAAAGATTCAGTCAGATGCAGCTTTCCAGCATCAGGCTCATCGTTGTCCTTGGAAAAGGTAAAATTACTTCTTTTCTCACACTCCACTTCCTCTACCTCTATGTTCAAACATGGTGATGCCCTTTTCTTTCATATTCATTTATCCCTGCTGCCTTTTGGCTTGATGTCAATAAACCAAGAGAATCCTGCACTACAACACATTTTATTTAGATGTGCTTCTTCAAAATAAATTTCTACAGTTTCTTTTTCTAATTTCTTAGGCCTTAATACCTCTCAAAAACAAACAAACAAAAAAAACCCCAAAGCTCCAAACGTTCCAAGAAATATCTTAAAAATCTGCAGTAATAACTGATCACTAATGTCTGTGACAAAGCCAACAAAGAAAATTCCTTTCTCAGTAGGGAGACTTTTTCAAAGTTCTTAAATAACTGGCTTAAAGATCAGCAGATTTAGGGTGTTTCCACTAAAGGACTGCAAACCATTTTTAAAACTATGGACACTTATGGGAAATGTAACCCTTTTAGCAGCTATCAGTCTGAATAAGAGGCACAAAACTCCTATTTAAATAAGAAACAACATCCCTGAAAACTTTATCTCAACTCAACACTAGCAAGTCCAGTCTCTGATGTAGACTGATAGTAAAAGAAAACCCCAAGTAGCCCAGATAGCACAGGAATACTGCCCTCCTTGTGAAAGGCCTGCTAGTTCCACACCCTGATCTAGCTTCAGCTTCTACCTTCTTATACTGATTTAAACCTTACACTGCAGCTGTCTAGTCTTCAGATGATAAAATACGAAAAATCAACAGAAAAGACTACAACAACCTGACCCAAAACAGGTTTGGAATCCAACAACTAGCAAACAGAAATGACAAATGTCTTTGGAGGGGAAGATAAAATTGTCTCCCATTGCATCTTGACTCCAGTACTAAACATGTGATACAAACAAGAAACAATATTCTTCAGAAAGAGTACATCAGAAACACAAATAACTCACGTACAAGAATAATAACCGCCAAAAAATGCTGAAAGAAGAAACAAAACTTAATCTTCTGGGACGCATAAAAAAACCTCCCACCAGTATGTACTCCAAGAGAAACTATTTTGTTGATAGGTTAAAATGTGTTTCCGAGATCTCAGAGAGACTATTAGCATTTTGTGCTCTTCTGAATGTGAAATCAGTGTGCAATACTAGTCTGAAGTGTATAGTATTTCATTCTACAGTAGATACCAAGAAAATACTATGATACCAACTAATCTGTAATAAACTAAGACAGGGACTTAGAAATAAAGATCATATGGAAAAAAGAGTTTCATGTCTCCAGAAGGTAAGTGTTCAAAGAAAGAATAAAGATATCTCTTAAAATGTTAGCTATGGGGAGTCTTTTATCTATCCTTAGTGAGAGAAAAATCTTCTATTTTTTCAAATGCTTTTCCTGAAGAAGTTCAGATATTCATACGGTATTATAAAAACTGAAGAGTATCCATACAGTATTATAAAAGCTGAGGAGTTTTGTCCTTTATTATTGAACATAAGATATTGCATTCTTTAAAGAAAAACATGTGGCAAGCGAAATACTGCACTTAGAGCAACTTTGACCAGACTGATAATGATTCCAGTAATGAACATCAACATATGCACCATCAGCGGCGGACAAAACAAGTAACTGCAGATCAGCTGTTCAGTTCTCAACTCATACATGAGGGTTCTTCTTAACATCTGGACGACGATTTCTTTGCCTAAGTAAAATGTAACATCTATTCTAATGAGCAAACACACACAAGCATACTTACTACGTAGTTCCCAGGAGATGCTGAAGAATAAGGTATCTGTAACATAAGCAGAAACAAGGGAGTAATTTCTTCAGCACTGAGATGGAATTAGTATCTACACTTATTGGCAGAAAGATTATTAAGGTAATATGCTTTGTAAAGTGTTAACTTTTTAGCAGCACATGCCTGCATTTTACTCACTGGGCTTCAAAGTCAGCTGGAACAGGAACTGAATTTGTTTATTCTTGTAGGTACTGAACATTTATTAAAATTTAAAATCACTCTATTCTTTCAGCAAGAAGATACTCATTTTATCTTTGCATTACTTCGTCTTTTTACAAAAGGATAGTGTCCTAATTTAATTTCAAATTCAATTGTGGCATTTGTTACAGAGGATATTTGCAGAAATCCAGTTGCCTGTGAATAATCCAGTTTTCTCCTTTATGCAGTAGCCTTTGTGAAGATTCTCTCTGGAGGGGCAGGGAGCCCATTATAGTACGATGGGAAAAGAATTTAGAAACTGAATTAAGAGACTACAAAACTCTTTTATTGAAAATCATCTTACAAAATTGTACACAACTGGTCAGACAACTAATTTTTACCAAGGTATCTAGCATTTGACTTCTCAATTAACTTAACAGAATGAAAACATTCCAAGCATCAGTTTAAAAACACCCTACCATGTGTCCATTTTAGCAGATGAGAAAAGAAAGGAAAGCAAAGAATGAAGAGGAAGATCTTCAGCATGTTTTTTTCCTAACTGGAATTTAGTAGAAATAAAAAATCAAAACTGAGAACAACAAAAACAGCCTATACCCTCTGGCAAGCCAGACCCATCTTATCCAACTGTAAATGTCAGAAAGGGCCACATTTTAATACTAATGATATATGTCCATTGAAGTAAAATGAAAATTTTACCTATGGGCTTTCTAAGGAAAAAGCAGCCAATGCTGTTCATGTGATATGCTTTACGGACTGCTTCTTTCTTTAAGCTGCTATTAAACAATCTCATTTTGTAGCTATTGGAACATAATCAAGAGAGTGCATTGATTTTTACCAAAAGCCTATCTAAATGTCTGATGCCTGATAAGTATTTGCTTTATGATTCCATATTTCCTAGTTAACAAGAACAAATGTGATTTGGTCTATGCAAAGTATGTGAGCATGCATTAGGGAATATCTTTGCAAGCTGTGATTTCTGTAGAGCTGACTGGTCAGATACCATTGACCTAACTTTTTTGCCTTACACTAAAGGAAGCAAAAATATATTTTAAATATAAACCAGGATGACTTTTTTGTTAAGAAAGTTTGGAAATGTGGTAGAGATGCAGAGGAATGACAGAACTGAATACATATGAAAAGAATGGTCGATGAATTTTCTGTTAAAACGTAGACCTTAGTGCACCTATGCTATTCATTGTGCAAACTAGATTTTTTTTTTTTTTTTTTTTTTTTTTTTTTTGTAGTTTGGTGCACAGGTGAGAAATAATTCCTTGAATATAAGATAGTATCTAATATATTTAAATATTTACTTACAGAATTGGCATTGGTTGGGTTTGGCCAAGGTCTACCACCTCCCGGGCCCCTGTAACAAAAGATGAGAACTTAATTAAAAAACAAAACAAAACAAAACAGGACAGACAACTCCCCTGCCAATTCTGAGGAAGCAAATGCTTCAAAGTAATCTATTCCCAAAGTAAGTTAGGAGACAGCTTTCTTTTTTTTTTATATTTTTAATTGCAATAAAATATGATCATAAATTGTAACTACGCAAGTCATAATATTATGGTTGCACTAGCTTCTTCACTTAACAGTTTACAAGATGATTAAAGATACCACATTTATTTTTACCACCCCGTCATTTATATTTAAGACATCTCAGATCCTAACTCACTCTGTGGACTTTGTCTTTTCAGGACACTACCTGCTAGAAGTGTTTCAGATCAAGCCAAAGGTCTGCAGAGACCATAGAGGAGAGTTTTGCATTTGTCTCAGAGCACTCGAAGGTTTAGGAAGCACCAGACCTTCTCTTATCATGTTCTCTGTAGAATGACTTCAAAGCCACTGCAAATTTGTTTCCTACCATGTGTTTACCTCTTATCCTGGGAGAACTTAATTCCATGTTATACAAGCGTGACATTTCATTGTGGCACAGGAGGTTTAAACAGTGTGAAAAAACAAGTTCCAAAATTTTCCTCATGAGGAGTGTTTTTCTTTACGCTTTGCACTTATTAAAACATTTGGAGGAAATACCGCATTTTGCAAAAATCTGTTTACAGTATGGATTAAAGCAGAAAGGTACTAAATGCAAGATCAGACACAGAAACTGTACCCTTGCTTACATAATTAAAACACCTTCCTGAAGGATTGTAAAAAACATTTATTGATTATAGATCTAATAAATCTGTGGCGGAATAAAGTTTCATTAGTGAAGATAATGCTAGTTCCTTGTAAATGTTTTGATTTAAATAATTTTTAGAAGAACAAGCCATTCGCAGTAGAAAACATGTTGCTACAATCTGTATCTAAGCAGCACCGTAATTATATATAAGTTTACATATTTTATATAGTAAAAATTGAAAACATGCTTTTTTAAACACAGTTTCTGACGTTGAGATAGGCATCTAAGAATAGTCTGCTGCTTGGCTAGACCTACATTATCTCCACCGAAATCACAGCCCCATGACATGGACCATAAACCTGGCAAAGGGAGCCTTCAAACCAGCCCGGCCTCCTTCAGTTCCACCTTGCCCGAAGGGGAYCTTTTTGATTAAGCAGCAGTGTCCTAGCAGCAGGGACGGAGAAGAACAGGCAAAAGAAGCCTTCGATAAAGCTAGCTCAGACTAAACATCAGACAGATCCTAAAAGCAGAATGGAGAAGAGGGAAAAGGCAAAACTCCTTTTCCGGCCGAGCACGTCTTTTCTCACAGCTCTCGCTGTTATCTCGGCTTTCTCAGTCTTAACTGAGCTCAGGAGAATAGTTTGGTGGCTAGGCTGCTTCTTTTAACAGGCTTGAGGCAACTAAACCATATGGAAGGTAAAAATCTCAGTGTTCATAGTCATAACATACGAATAACTATAATTAAGCCTGGTAGCATTAGGCATTCCAGCTATTTATAAATAGGATGAAATCACTTTTTGAAGGCCTTGACAACAGAAAGGCAGAGCAGATGACAAAACTTTTGCTCTTAAAATGGGATTTTGGCCTTACTGGCTTTAGCAAAGCTACATTACCCACCACTGCCTCCCCAGCACGGCAGAGTGATTTAAATACTGAGGCCTAAAGGCTTTATTAAAGACTCCAGCCAGCTTCCTATATGGAGTTTTGAGAAACTAAATGCCACTACATGGTATGTTGCTTTGGGGATCTAATATCGAATCTTTCTTATCTTTTATTACATTATTGATAAAACTACAAAGAAGTTGGCTAAAACAATCAACTGAAAGAAATAAAGTGAAAATTCAATGAAGCATTTCATTTATGCTGCTACATTATTTTTGGAAAGACAGAAATGTAGGAGAGGGTCTTTCTGCTACAACTCTCGCACTGTCAGAAAAGGCAAATGTTCTCGAGTGAACCCCAACATGCTCCTTGGCAGCTTAAATAGTTCTCCCATGAAAGCCAAAAACCTCCTATAGTTCTCCATAGGATACACTCTTGTTGGAAGATATCTCCATGAAGGATTTGAGCAGTGGGTGGCAGCTGCCTTATCCAGCTGTGGGAGAAGGGGAGATAAAGCAGGGAAAGGCACTCATAGACTCATGCAAACAACGCCAAGTGCAAGTAACTTTTGCAGACATGATGCTCAGGATGAAAACTCAGCAACTTCTCTGACACTAAACACTAAAGGTGAGATAGTTGTTCTTTTTCCCTTTTCTGTCCTGTGCAGTATTGGCCTATCAGCTCTTCTTTCTTCTGAACCAAGAACATACATACAAATACTGGAAGCTTGTTTGCATGCCCAGCTGTCTGTGTGACATTAGGACAAACCTACCTGGTAAAAAGCATCAAACCACATAACGCCATGACTGCAAGGCAGGTAACAGGGAAGTCCAGAGACCTGAGAAGGCTAACTCAGATACCTAAGCTTAGCCACCACAACATCAACACGCAGACAGGGTCCATGAGAAGACTGCAACCCCAATCCCTGTCGGCTTCCTGGTGCTCCTGGTAAGCAGCAGGCAAGCTATGGCTAGAGCTGAATTGGCGTAAAGCCGGAATTTTCCTGCAGGCTGCACTGCAGACTCTCCTAAGAGGAGGCCCAGCCTTCAGCTAAAAAGCTGTTGGAATTTGCAAATTTACTGGAAGTCAGAAGCAGCTCTAAGTATAGACTTAGAAAACTCTGTAGCAGATTCTGCTTGAAAGCCATATGGTTTATATAGAGCTGAATATTGTTGGCTTTTAAAGCACACACATACAAAAAAAAAAAGAATCTATCCATATTTTTTTTTCCAAAGCAATGCAAGCAGTGTTTTTCCCTTTTATTAAATGTTTATTTTGGATGCATCAACAGAATCATATAACAAAACAGAGTAATTTACAGAGGATTCACTGCTATGACCTATTCAACTGCATCCACCGTTTAAGTAAGTCCTACACTGTTAATCCCAGTATTTGGAAAAAATAAAATACGTATTTCAGTTTCCTAACATGCAAAAATATTCTACCAGGAAATTAAATAACCAGACACAAGTTTGTGAATTGAAGTCAAAATATAGTGACTTTTTTTTTGTTTTTCCTTCTTTCCAGGCATGAGTGAGATATTCTTAGTGTTTTATACGGCACTGCAGATCACACAGGCCATTAAAAAGTGCCAGTGAAACTTAACACAGTGAAATTTACTGTTTTGTTCTCACAGAGGGCATTTTCCATGAAGAAATAACATTTTACTAACAACAGCTACAACAAAGTTTAGCTTAAAATCTTAGAGCTAAAACAAAGTTATTTTAAAAAAGACACAGGATATATATCAACTCTTTTAAACAATGATTGGATACATATCAGCTAGGGTGGAACAAGTAGTTATTTATCAGTGACACATTTAAGGAATATGTGCTCTGAGACTGGAAAAATTGCCTATGGGCTCTCTGGCTGGTTGTAGGCATTTTTGACAGTAGAACACACTTTTTCATCCAGAAAAATGTAAAATTATATTTGGCAAATATCTTCCTCTTAAACAAAACTGCTTCCTTGTGATCCCTCCCAGGAGAAAAGGAAGGATTTTAAAAAGATAACTGGTTTTGTACAGCAAACGTATTTTTATATTTTACAGAAATCCAAAACTATTGAGTACCACACAGGAAAATGTAAGAAGAAAAAATGTCTATGTGAAGACATCTGTAGATTAATATGTACGATACATAATACATGCAAGAGGGAAGTTCATCATTTTCCATAGAAATGTAAGTACAGTAAAGAACTTACATTGGTATTTCTTAATATTGTGTATGGCATAAATCATAATGGATAATATAAAGATTGAATTCTAACACATTTGGGTTCATTTGTTCCTGTTGCCCATGGGCTCTTCTGAGGTGCACCCTGACTGATTCTGAACGTTGGAAGTGCCCAGACACCACGTTTTGAGCACGATTTCACAGTGTGAGAACTTACTACCATCAGATTTCATGCAAAACAGACAGCACTAACTTAAAGTAAGAAGCCAAGCTGATGTTTAAAAAGAAAAAGCCTTGTGCTGCCAAACCACCGTTAGACCTTTATTCTCCTTTCGATGAGTATATGTCACTTTAGGTATCAGAGGAAAAAAATAATCCATTTGCCAGGAAGAGAATATGTTCTGAAGACATATGTGACAGGGCACATAACACATGCTATGGCACAGCACTCCTGTACTAGCACTCCATGCTAGTGAAGTGTTTAAAGGGCAATATATGGCATGGGACAGTGGGAAGTCTTGTTCAAAACCAGGGAACAGCTTCGTGTTCCTGCTTGAAGCTGAATTGGAGTAAAGACAAGTTTGTAAGAAACGTAATGGAGTGCAGCATATGCCTGACACACATGCAGATAGCTCTGGAGACAACTACTTGATAATTACTATTTTACATCATGTGGGTCTCTAGAACCCATCTCCTGCATCAAAGCTCATGAACTCCCCAAGGAAGAGACTGCAGTTCATGGCATCCACCTCAGCCAAACACAGAAGTTCAAAGGAAAATGCACTTCTCACATCACTGAAGTAAAAAAATCCCACCATCTATCTACGTTTACTAAGCACAAGTGAAATGTGCTTATCTAAGGCTGCAAAGTGGAAAATATTACTATTGCAACCCCATGAACATATTCTTCCCTGCTTTCTGGAAGATGAGCAGCTATTTTTTTTTAATATATATCCAGAAACCTGTTTGCTTATCTATGTAAATTCTCACTTATGTGGATAAATGTCCTCAAAATATTTTACCTATCCTGAATCCAGAACACTGTATTTTAGAAGGTTATGCTTTCTTATCATTAAATCTCCTCCTAAGGAAGTCTATGTACTGCTTATATCATTCTTGCACTGAATTTCAAATATCTAAATATGTTCTCTACATCAATTTTATTTAAAAGAAGAAATGCCTACCCTTGGGAAGATTCCTAGAATTGTCTTGAGTCCAATATATGATGTCTATGATAGAGTAACACCCAACTTTAGATTTTATTTTATTTGCTTCAAGAATTCAAGGTATGTCTGGAAATCAGAAGAAATTAAGGATATGCTGGATTAGATTTTTTTTTTCTGAAAGTATTATCTAACTCAATATCTCTTTAACCGCTTCAGGTTGGTGTCTCTATTTGAAATGAAAATTATCATCTAATGCTAATATTTCTATAAAAATAAGAGTAAAAACAGTTATCTATGATAACAAGCTTGTATAAAATCTCACTGCAAACTCATTCTTAAAAAAATAAGGTATAAAAGCCGTAAAACAAAAGTGTTCTCTGCTTTAGACTGTAATAACATTTTAGTATCTTACTACGCTGACTGTCAAACTTTCTGTTAGAAAAACCAGCAGTTGCAAAATGCTGGTTAAGAAACACAGGAGTAATTTACATAGAGATAGGGCAAAGATACAAAAATATCTTGATTTGTTTTCCAAGGCTTAGCTAATCATAGAAACACCTTTGAACCATTGAAGGATTAAAAAAAGATACACAAAAGATTCCTCATTTTGGGCCATTTGCTACACTAGAACCCTGAGCTTAAATCTAGTCTACTTTAGATATGGTAAATTCACATCTGAAATTTCCTATGGGCTTAGAAAGGGTGAGTTGTCTATAGGAGAAAAAAACAATAATATACTGCAGTGACAAATTATCTTGCAGAAAGGAAGCACACTTGTACCACTCATTGCAAAATATTTGATCAGAGAGAATAAATGTAAACATCATTTGGAAGAATATATACAAGTGAATATTGGTGACTATGGTTTTAAAATATTACCAATATTTAAGCATTGACCTGTAGAAGAACCTCAGTATTTGTACATACTTGGAGGGAAAGGAAAGGAGCCTGTAAGAAAAGCAGGCAGAAGTACAAAACGGCTGTAGGTTTAACCTCTTCTCAATTGCAATTATTAGCCAAAACCACACATTATTGCCCAAGACATGTCCTCCCTTGTGTTACACATCACCAGTGTTGCTTCTACAACAAAATAATGATTTTTCTAAAGATTAGAAGATTTTATTGTTGTGCTTACATGTTCATTCCAGGCATCCCCGGGCCACCTAAAGCATTCAGTGGGGGTCGCATTGCACCTCCATAGTTCTGCAATGATAACCAAGGGTCAGACTACCACAAAACAAAAAAACAAAACCAAAGAGGAGGGGGAAAGAAAGGACAGCAGGTTAATGATATCCCTACATAACTGCTGAATGGATAGGCCAATGCAATTCATAGTTTCAGGAGTTTCCATTCTTGACTTAAAAAAGTAATATTGTTATCCCCAAGCAAAAAGAATTATATGTTCTACTCAAACAATATGAACATGCTAAGAGTACTGCAAAGGTCTGTTATTTCAAGAGGAATTACTTACACATACAAAGGTCAAATCAATGGCCACTGTGGGGCAGGTTTTATATGTATTTAATTTGGATATTTGGGAAGCTCATTCAAAATCAGAATTGTGGACTTTTCTGAGATTCCAATATTATGGAATTTAATTTTTAAAAAATATTTTAAATTAGATTCTATTAATAAACAGAGCATCAATAAATGGTTCTATGAAATTACAATACAAGATATCTTGTACACTTTTATAACATATAAAATAGTCACTACATATTGCTTCTAATGAACCTATCCTCATCACTTTAAGGTAACTAGTATGAAAATTATTCAATGTTATTGACTATTGAATGTCATAACAATGCCAATGAGTTAACTGCCCAAGGTCTACACAATCAGAGTGCATGCTTTGATGACTTTATGAGAAAAATAATAGCAATTTCACTGTTTACAAAAAAAATCTGTTTTTTATTTAAATGAATGCAAGTTGAATAATCTGCCTCATCTCACAACATTAATTCACACTGTAGCTTGTGTTAATCCTGCTATATTTTTTTCTGATGTTCCAAAGGAATGAATAATTCATTTGGAGAATGCATACGGTCTAAAATGAACAGCTGGGCACTTGGAAAGAGGGCAAGACCATTATTTACTTAAAAAAGTTCTAAGCTATTGCTGCTCTTTTTCAATCATAAAACAGTAGTAGTTATCCTACAAACTATATATCCAACCTATAAACTACGTATACTACATGACTCAATTTTATGGGTTTTCTCTACACTGGTGAGATYCACATGGACATGTTACCTTGAAGGCATGAACTTCTGGGAGAAATGGGAGCATGAGCTTTGGCCTGGTGCTGCACTTACACCGAGTGATGCAAACCAAAACATTTACTTAGATCTACAGCTGATCCAGAACCATGAGATCAGGTTCTGCTTCCTTTTTAGACAGTCCCCAAAATGTCTCATAGTTAGCTTGTTTGCAAAACCAGGTGCAAAGGCTGCAAACAGATTCCTCTGCCAAATCCAACAGTGGCATCTGAAGATCACATTAGTCAACAGTTGCTGGCCATCAACTGCTACTCAATTTCGCCTTTTCTTGTACTGACTGATGTGCACGCTGAGGCAAAACTCAGATTACCTCAAAGCACTTAACCTGAGTTATTCTAGACGATTTTGCCTGACATGGGTTAGAGGATGCGATGCTCACACTAACAACTCCCAGGCCATGACTGCAAGGCAGTTAGTTGTGGGAAGCAAAAGCAGCTGGGCACAGTAAGAGCTGCGGTGCCACCACTACTGGATCTGGAGGAGGACACAGACTTATTGCAACAAAGTAGGACTTTTTTTTCCTCTATTTTTTTTTCATTTTGATTTGGAGGGTTAAATTATTCTCCTTATTTGATCTGTCAGATGTCTCCTCTCTTAATTTTAGTTCAAGAGACATTTGTGAGGACTTGGGTTCAAGTTCTTTACTGAATCCCACAGGACTGGAAAAGCTTCTTGCTCCTGAAGCAAGAGCATTTTCATTACAATCATTGACACACAGTTGTAGCTAAGCTCCCTGTACAGATTACTGCCCTAATTTGCTCCTTACAGATTTTTACTTGTAGTCACCCTTGCCTCTGCTTATCTCATAGCTGAGTTGTTATGTCACCTAACATCTGGGGGACAAATAAGCCAGGTCAATCAATATCTGTTTTTTAAATATTTAGGAYAACTCAGTTATCTTTGATTATAATACATTAGTTCACCAGCTAATATGAGAGATGGGGAATCAATAGCCAGACACAGATCTGAGGCATAGGCTGTTCAGCTGGCATAACTGCTGCTTGAAAAAGCCAGACCCACATCCTTTCGAAGTTGAGAGGCTTATTTATGACTCTATACTGCTGTTTTTCTGCTTCTTGTTGTTTAGTTTGAAAAAGTTTAGCCCTAAAAATAAATAAATAACTAAAACTGAGGTAATTCTTCTGTTCTGGGGAGACCTCAGTCACACAACACAAGGTATGGCTTTAAAATGAAASAAATTGCTTACTGTCCTGATTTTTACTGCTCTAAGTATATAGTACAGACACAGCATACGGGCATTGGAAAGTTCCCACTGCTAAAAGTTTGTATCAGCTGGGAAGCAAACAAATACATGCTGCATTTCACATAATCCTTTCTGTATCCATACATTAAGAGTTTCCCATTTTTTTTCCTCTGCTTAGGTAGTAAGGGAGCAGGGCTTCCCACTTAGCACCTAACAAATACCTGAAAATAAGTGTGAAAAATCTTATCACTTTGGTGGGATTTTCTTTTCAATAGCTTTCTGAGAAGTTCCTAGCAGCAAGGTACAAGCATAGATGGTGATTCATCTGTATCCCATTAATTTGGGAACTTAAATTTGCAGTAGATTTTTCCCCATTTTAAGATGCTGTTCAGCAAAAGAAAGAAATATCTTACCAAAAAAGATCTAGGATTTTAAGAGACAGCAAAAATGGAAAAACCATCCTTGTAAAAACTGGCATGAGATTTGCCTGCTGTGTGACTAATGGTGCTGCATAAAGTATCAGCTCAACCTCATATGGCAGCATTGCAAAGCTTTGCTTTCCACCTCCAAAAGGCAAGTGGCAAATATACTTCAATCCTACAGAAAAACTAACAAATGTATTTAATAACAGTTTGTTGGTCACACAACAGATGTTGTGTAGAACTGCACAGTTAGTTTCTATCAAGAAGACTGAAAACTGTAAAGGCAGTTATGAACAGATATAAAGGCAAATCTATTTAATCATTTAAAATTCAGTTGCTATTCCAAGGAACAAAGAAGTCACTAGAGAAATTATCTGAAATGCGGAAGTAAAAATTTAGATTTGGCACAATGAGCTCACTGGAGAAAAAAAAAATACTAGCAAGACCTGTAAAAACACCACCATCTAAATATTGTTTCATTGAGGGAATTACCTAAAAAAACCTTTTGGGTTCATTTTTCAGATATACATCAGTGTTAATTTATTTTATCTTAATTTCTTATTAAACTGTAACACCAATATATCCATTGATATTTTTACACTTTCAAAGAAAAAACTACATACAAATACAAATAGGTCAGCACTGGTGGGAAAGTTGATTCTTGAAATTCAGGGTTGCTTTATTCCCTGAAAACAGACCTATGCTTATAATTGATAAGGAGGAGAAATGGCAGCATGAACTTTAAATTTTATAGCAAAAGATCTCTGGCACTCACCAAAATCCCAGCAGATGAAGAAAAATCTTTGCGGGAATTTTGGGTGGTTTTTTTGATGCAAGGCATTTGACTAATTTAGTTGTATTATGAGATGGATTTTTTTCCTCCCAAACAGGTACATTAATTAGACTGGGAGGATGAGGAAACATCTCCTCAATCCCTGTGTGCCTTTACAAATTTTAGCTTTTGATTACAATACACACGGCCTGTGGCACAAACATAACTTTCCAGAGGAAAGCAACTTCTAATTTTAACTGTTTTTTTTTTTGAACTTGAGATTCTATAGAACTGCAACTCAGAATTAACTTTTTAAAAAGAGATAAAATTTATTTTAAAATGGAATTAGACAAGCAGTTTCTAGCACACTCAGTCTTCAACTCCGATTCCAACTTTCACACTACAGTGATAGATCTTGTCAAAATAAACAGACATATTTCTGTGGAAGGTACCTGTGGTCCTAAAGGAACCATTCCTCTCGGAGGAGTCATTCTCTGCATTGGCCCACCCATATTTGGATGCCCTGAAACAAAAAGGAAGTATTCTGAACAACCACGTAAGACAGAAGCTTCTTCAGAAACAGCTTTAACAAATCACTCTCTCTTAGTATACTGAAGAGCTTAGAAAACTGTGGGAAGCTTTTAAACATAGAAAGACTGAAGTCAGAGATCATGGTATTTTTGAGCTTTCAACACAACTAGTCTATACATGTCCTTTACCTTGCTGCCGTGTTGGGTCCATCCCACTAGGCAATAATGGCTGACTTCCTGGGACACCTCCAAGCGCCTGCAGACATAGAAAATGTTTTAAAAGGAGAAAATCCCCTGTAACTTATGTTAGAATCAAATATATTTATTTTGTTTTTAATTCTGAGATGATTTTTCTAAGTAAAGAGTAATATGTAAGAGTTAGCTCTTCTAAATGAATAAGATTCTGACTATGGTTTTGCACAGACAAACTTGCATGGTTTGCATGGAATCAGGGATAAATAAATTTCCAATAATGTTCTCTGCCTAATTTTCTTTTTTCTCGCCCCCGCCCCCCACTAGTTCTTCCTTCCCTTTACCTTACTATTTTCTAACTCCCAAACACTACCTATTTTGCAGTTACCTGGTAATTTGTCCTACATTTATTTTTTTTTTACTGAGTTTTCCCTCTTAACCATTCTAACACCTTTAAGATCTGTGACCTTTCCTGACAGGAAACCATAACTGAGCTAATTGCAGAGAAGTTGGAGAGTAAAACAGAGCAGTGCTGTGATGTGGTAGATATTTTAGCTTCCACTCTGCTTTACTGCTGTAAGGGCATTAACACCAAGATAAGCAATTTATCCATCTACAGAAGATGGAGGAGGAGTCACAAAGCTCACTCCTAAATCTTGCCTTCAAGCATGACTCCCCAAATTTTTATCTGTCCATTGGGTTTACAGTAAAGGGTTTAGGTTTAAGGCTAATTTCTCTAGCCTCTTACCTAAGGTTTAGTCAGTTAGGAAAATGTTGTTATAAACAGGTCTTTGCCAGTAGATCTTTGTGACTGGCCCACAAAGTGCTATTTAATATTTCAAAGAAGTTATGTATTTTCAGGAAAAAATAATCTGYAGTGAGTAAATCTGATGTGATGGAAGTGATATACTCAGGCAATATAGTTGCTTACTGAGGGAAAGCATCATGTATTCTTGACTTGGAAATACTGAGGTAGTCAAGGACACCCCCAAAAGGGGAGCTTACTTGCGTATATGGTTTATTTTCACAAGAGGTATGAAAATCAAAACTAAGATACACACTGTTACCTCATTTTGCATSTAATCTAAAGATACTCTGCTTTAAGACTTATAGAATATATATAACCAGGGATTACATCATTCAAATCAGAGCTTCAGCATCTTAAAATCAGGATGATAAGCAAGAACATGGGAATTACACAGAGAAATGTCAAATCCTACCTAAGCAGAACTGGCTACTTCTGTCAGAGATACTAGGTGGCAAATAAGGAAGAGGAGGATGGAGCTGCTCGAAGCACGCTGCCCAAGCACACAACTCGGGCAGTAACTCCAGTGTGGACAGTCACCTAAAGGCCTGCAGTTCCTTTCCAGCCTACCCTACCACTTCTAAGGAAGCCTGGGTGCATATCTGCACAGCCCAATGCATTGCCCTGAGCAAAGGCTCTTGCAGGATAAGTTGTTCATGTACAAGTGGCATCTCAGGCCCACGAATGTGTCACCCAGTATTTGCTACCCTTCCCTGTTAGCAAGCCTACACCTATCATATGAGCAGAGATTGAGTGAGTTGGGCCTGTTTTCTCTGGAGAAGAGAAGGCTGAGAGAGGATCTGATTAATATGTATAAGTATATGAAAGGGGAACATAGGGAGGAAGGGGCCAAGCTCTTCTCAGTGGTAGCCAGTGACAGGACAAGGGGCAATGGGTGTAAATTACAACACAGGCAGTTCCATCTCCATGTGAGGAGGAACTTCTTCCCTGTGAGGGTGACAGAGCCCTGGCACAGGCTGCCCAGGGAGGTTGTGGAGTCTCCTCCTCTGGACATCTTCAAAACCCGCTTGGATGCCGCCCTGTGCCCCGTGCTCTGGGTGTCCCTGCTGGAGCAGGGGGCTGGACTGGATGATCTCTAGAGGTCCCTTCCAACCTCAACCATGCTGCGATTCTGTGACTTAGCTCACTTATCCCTACACACAGTGCAAGGCTGTGTGCTACACTTACATTGATGGATAGAATTATAGTTACAATGGGAATTTTAACTATGATTTTTACTGACTTTCATGTAATCAAAGCTTCAGCCTTAAGGCTGCATTACAATAGTTTATTACTTCCACATACGGCCCATACATACTGTAACTTACAGTAGGGCAGCATTGCCAAAAGCTGTAATTCATGAATGCAGCATAATGTAAATGAATCACAAGAGCTGTAATTCACTAAGATCATGCTACAGTTCTAAACTGGAAATAATGTGATGTTCAAACAAAAATAGCTTTTGAAACTAAAACTGCAGGTTGGCAGCGCTTTTATGGTGTTCGTCACATCCAGTGTTACCTGCCAGTATTTACAGAATTCAGGAATGCAGAAAGAGAAATAAAGGAACAAGTGAAAGCAAAATGCTGTTGTATTTTTTGCAAACATTATGGAAAGGTGAAAAAAAGGGAGGAAGGTTTTTTGGGGGGTTTTGTTTTCCTTTTTTCTTTTTTTTTTTAAACAGAACTACAATATACCTATAATAGATGTTTAACTAAGGCACTAATTAAATTGCACTATTATACTGTTCCTTGATGATCACTTCAAGAACACTGGGCTACCCTTTTCCCTTTTGCAAATGTAGCTCTTAACTTAACCTGCTCTTTAACATCAACCGGAACATTTGAAAAAGTCTTGCCAGTCTTGCAACCTGAAGTTTCTAGCTACCAAAAAAATCCCCTCAAAAACAAACAAAAAAACCCACCACCAACAAAAAAAGAAACACTCAATCTTCACCTTTCKGGCAGCAAGGTGCAGTGCTCATGACCAGTATATTGACACTGCATCATAACATATATGTAGATATACACACACAAAAACAGCTGCAGCTGAATTTGGAGCAGAGAGTCTCCTCATCATCAAGCTGTGACCACAGCTTGACAAAAAAATAAAAAATAAATAAAAGAAAATAAATAAAAGAAAGATTCCACTATYCCACACTATCCTATCAACCTTCTCCAATCTTATAAATGACCCAGTTTCTTTTTCAGAGTTCAGCTGATATTTTTCTGTCTGCTTATCTCTAACTTTTCATCTACTCACAACCGCTTTCTCCTCCTCTGTCTATACTTAAAGAGTTCAGAACTTAAAAATACAAATGTTATCTGCTTCCAGAATCATCTTTCCACAGATGGGCCAATAAAGGTCTCTGCTGACGAGCCGCAGCTCATTACTCATTCTTGTTACACAAGCATGCGTGTCCTTCAATGGAGATGAGAGAAACTGGGAATTTGATGCTTTCATAAACTCCTGAGAGTGCCTGTGAGAGGCACCCGGGTACTTCAAGTTAGCTGTACCTCACCCATGATCTCCAGAACTGGGAAGCAAAAACACTTTACACATCTAAGGAGAAATAGGAGGGAGGGATGCATCTTATGTAGAAATCAGTAAAATAACTCTCCGAGTTAACTGCTAAATGTGGTTAGGGAAGTTTACAGAACACAGCAACTGCACGGACTTGACACCATCTTCTCAGAGGACTCAGCATCAACCAGTGGAGCTTAGCAGAGCCATGCACAAGGCAGCAATATTCTCCCTCTGTAGACAGGCTTAATGCACTATAAAGTCTGAGGTGCAGACACTATTTAGCCATAAGCATGAGCTGAGAGTGGAAGGGGGTATTATCATGCACCATACCAAAATACACACTTAATGGTCAGACGAAATAGAGTGGAGAGAAACTAAGTGAGTTCTGTATGTTAGAGAAAAATGTATGCTAGAGCCAACAAGAGAATATCCCCTGTTCTCAACACTGCCCATGTCCCCGGAACACAAATGCACATCACAGATATGTTCTTACCTGATTGGGTATTCTTAAAGGTGGCCTTGGACCTCCAGGGTACCGAGGGGACATGAAAGGCTGTAAGAAAAAAGAAACATTGCTGAATAATTCAAATCAGTCTGTAAATACTGTATTGAGTCATTGGGCATATGGCTTGTGTCATGCTTACATCTCAGGATTCCAGCTCACATATTTCCACAGAATGCTCCGTACGGTATTCTGCAGTACGTAGCAGGACTAAATAAATCTAAAGATGCTTAATGAATGTAGCTATGAAGATAGATTATTTAAAATTTTGCTGCAGCTATTGTGAAAGCAGAATATAAACAACTTAATGCATGATCTATAAAGAATAATAAACTATTCAGACCATAAAATCATACATCTAATCTTTTCACTGGATTAAGGGGAAAGAACCCGKGTATATAGAAGAAAATTGTTCTTGGTATTGCATCTACTTCAAGTAGCAAATAACAGTATAATAATTTGCAAATACTTTTCCTTCATTTTTTCAAATTCATGTATTAAAAGTGAATACAAGATTAACCTGTGGAAAAAAAGGATTTCAAGTTTACATCATAAATATCTAGAACTCTGGTGGTTTATCTGAGCTATATTACCTCAATATTGTACCCCTCCCATCCCTTCATATGTAATTCCATGCTCAGTAAAACTCTTCCTTTCTCAACATGAAGCATCTCCTTAATTCTGTCATCCAMTCCTCATCTCTATCATACACTATTTGCATTACAGTGGCTCTTGGCTATACTACGCTAGTTTGTTGTAACCTAAAAACAAGGTCAGACCCTTACTTTAAGGCCAGAAATAAATGAATGTTGGATCAGCAAATAAATTTAAAACCTCTACTTGTTTCACCTCCAAGAATGACAGCAATCTAGAGATGTAAAAAGCAGGGAGATTAGAGGCAAGTTTGAGAGCCATGGGAAAAAAAAGGCACAAACATCTGACTAGACAGATGATGAAGAGGATTATTTTGGCAAGCAAATGTACCTATAACTCCAGAAGAAAACCAAGAGCTAAAAGTATGCTTTGCCTGTGAACACAGAGATTAAAAAAGAAAGAAAAAAAAACTTTTAAGATTCTTATAAGAGTAGAAGRAAAATTGTTTTTTTCTTCCATGAGGTTTCCTCTCAAACCTTCTACTAATACACTATCATCTTCTCTCCTGTGTTTAAATTGTAATTTAACACAGCAAAAATGCCATGCAACTATATATTACRGAACAGAAGCTCACTTCTGCTCATGACACTGCCCAAGGAGTCATAGGAGAAGTGAAAAATACAAAAGAAAGGATGTTTCCATGGAACGTCCTTTCCAGTTCCTAAGAGGAATATCTTCTGACAAATAAGGTATTGCACAAATTCAGTCTTTGGGGCTTCTTGGAAAAGAAATATGAYGATTTCTTTTGTGAAATTCTTTTGGGAACTATGTGGTTCTAACAGCCACAGACAGCTCACTAAAACTCTATGGCTGACACCATCCTTTCATGAGTGGATGGCTTATTTGGGCCGTCAGCAGTATTTGTGATTTAAACTAAAATGCTAGTGTTGATTATTAGTAGTAAGATATGTCGGGTTATTAGTAATAATTAGTAACACAGTTATGATCATATTACTAATAATTAATAACCATATTTGTGTGATCTGCAGAAAAAAACCTTTCATTTGTCAGAATCTCCAATTCTGAGAAATTTCATTTCTCGTTATTAAAATAATGAGAAACTGCTACAGAAACATATGCTCAAAACAGACAGTAGAAAGTAAAAATTTAGGTAGAACTTAAAATACAGAGGCTTTACAAATTAGAAAAGTGACAATTATGAAAAGACTGCATAAGCAAACAGAGCACTTGAAATTGTGTGTTACAAAAGGAGGCATTTTCATGTCTTYTCTCCATGAGGACAGAGCTATGAGGGTGAGATTCTATTATAAGAAAGAGAGCAGAAAAAAAATAGAGCTGTGTATGTGGCAAAGGCTGTAAACAAAGATGCTTGTGAAAAAGTAAAAGTGGGAGGAAACTAGAAAATAGTTTCGTTAAAGGTCAATTAGTTGCATTGTATGGAGTGCAGCACACTCTAGTGCATACCATGTATTTGGTTTACTACATTCAGCAAACAAGACCTTACATTTATTTATATTTGTACCTCCCATAAAAAGAGCAGGGTAATGTCTGTCAAGTGAAGCACATTCTACCACAGTATCACGTTACACAGTACTAGTAATACAATTACACAGCACTAGTAACACATTAGTGCATTATTCACAGAACGTCTCCTCTTTCAACCTTCACATTTTCTTTCAAGCAAGAAGGAAATACTTTATCACCTTTAATCTAATTATGTACCCCTTTCTCCCAATGGGTTCATCATTCTATTCATTTTATTAAAATCCTAAATGTGATCTTAACATACTTTTGAATGGCAACGAAAGTATCTAACAAGTGCTTTTTACGTACAGTGCTGCAGAGAATAAAGGAGCACAAGGTTCTGAAGCAGATTCCTCCCCCTTTTGCATTAGCCAGAACAAGAGGTTGTTCAAAAAAAAAAAAAAAAAATCACAATTTTACTTTTCCAGACTCTTCCAGTACCTAACAATTAGAATCCCTACTTTGTGCTTTCCAAAGTAGCTTTGGATATCTGAGTAGATCTGGATAAAGGATTGTACCAAGTCTATTTAATAAAAAGTTTACAGAGTAAGTGTAGGACTCTCTTCTGGCATCACCTAACAAGTTAACAATTATTTCTTAGGAGGCTTTCTCTCTTAAGTATGCATTTAGGCAGACTTTGGTTTGAGAGCTACCATATGAATTCCTGTTTCTTTCTGTACAAACAGTTTGTTAGTTCATTGTATGGAAGAACTATAGGAGCCTTTAAATATAGAAATATTTCCCTTAAATTTATCTGTGGAAATTTTAAAAACTCCTCTCATTCTCAAAGCAATTCCGCCCAAGTGGAACTGTGATGAACTACGTAATTGCTAAATTTCAGCTCTTTATAACCCATGGATATTAATACTTTGCAGGCCTATACAGTGAGCAAGAAAATATATTAACAACTGGGAATCACAGTTAATGTTTCCTAGAATATTCAGAACCAATTTATATATTGCACCAACAAAGCATCCAATATAAGATATATAATATACAAAAATATCAGTGAAGTGCCATATAGCATTATATAAAATGGCAAGAGAGTAATGTTAAGGGACAAAATCTGAAAGATTTTTAGCTGTTTGGAAGTAATATTTAGTATTCAAGGTTACCACAAAACTCCTATYATCAAAAGAAAAACTTACATATTTTAATTTTCATGGTAATTGGTCAACATCTCCCTTCCCCTTAAAAGTCCTCCCAAGACACCAAAGAAATTCTGTCAAATGTATTCAACAGAAACAGCTTGTCAACCAGTTAAGTGATTAGGAAGAGCTTCTTCATCACGCTCAAGCGTGACACACATTGAATATCATGAAGCCTTGGCCATTCCAAGAAGGAAGCACTCCCCATCACCCATGGCATTTTAGAGCTAACGGACAGCTAATGTTCAGACCCTTATCTAGTTTTAGTGCTAAAGAGYAGCTGGAAGGAGCATAGTTGATGGAGGACCTATGGTGGACTTCAGTTTTTGACAGGTAGCAGCACCTTCTTTCCTTGAGTTTTTGCAAACTTTTTCTCTGTCATCTCTTGAAGCTATTGCAACATAMACAAAAAGTAATAGGTTCAAAACAGGAGTAGTAAATTAAAAACAGTGACCAGAGACTTTAAATCACTCTATGTAGCTCTTGTCTTTTGAAGGCAAAAAAGTTCTCTTCTGACTCAGCCTTGTGTCAATTCAGAATTCAGTACCTTGATAGTCTAAAACCTTTAATGGATGCCCACACTAAATTCACAGCAAGACAGCCTTCTTATTTGTCCCAGAGTTCAACCAAGGGGCCTGGTTAGGTGCCACATCAATGAATCAAACACTTCCCTGTTTACGCTCTCTCACTACTTGCCAGAGAGGGCATCTGCAAAGAAWAGTTTGAAGGAGAATTTCCTCAGTGTGTACAGACAGAAAGGATTACAAATACGTAACTCGTCAAAAAACAATAAAAACAGAAGTAGAAATGAAAAAAAAAGACAAAAAAAAAAAAGCCAAAGATAGGTACTACCATTTAATAATACAGCAATAGATTTACCTTTCGGGTCTGAAGATGACAGCAGGGCAAAGGAGGTATCTCCCTGGAACTTCCTTTATGCTTTAGGATCTAGGATACTTTTCAGTCAACGTATATCTGCCATTTCATGGCCAGATCTTGCCTAGAGAGATCTTGTCTAAGGAAAATCTTGGGCTATGTATTTCAGCATACTACCTTTCAAGGAGCAGATCTACCTGAGAAGAGAGATACCAAAGGAGTGGCTCCATTCCCCAGTAATTTCCAGATGCTGAAACAGCCCTCAAGGGCTTTAGTAACTACTGCTGCCTTCCTGAACTCCCAGGGAAGGGGAGGCACAGGCAATGATTTTGTGCCCTACCCTAAGCTACAAGTAACTCTTCAAATCCCACTTAGGAACCGCCACACAACTCCACTACATTATTAAGAAAAGCAAAAACAAAACAAAAAAACAACAAACCAAAACCTAATCACAAAATGAAGAAAACTAACGATGTAGCCCAGTAGGCCTTATCTAAGGCACAGTTGAAAACACATCTCTAGGTGGAGATGCCACCAACATTTAAAAACACGTGAGTCACAAAAGTTGCAGCAACACCAGAAGTGTTTTTGGAAACAGCTTGCTAAAGACATCTGCAAACTCTAGTACATTTTAATTACTGCTGTTAGGTAGAAGATTCAATAATCTGGTTTCACAAACAGTATCTGGAAAGCTGTTGTCATGCAGCTGACACCAAAGGAATATAAGAAGTGGTATCTATTAAACTGGGAGAAAAAGAAGAGGGATAAGGAAAAAAACTGTCATACAATTACTACAGAAAATATATATTTATCATTTTACAGCAAATGAAGTATTACAGAACTGATGCTAAGTTCATAAAATAAATGAAAGATGTGAAGTGTTAAATT